TGGCAGTGCCAGGGCTTACTCCTGGCTCCGAGCTCAGGGATCATGCCTGGTAGATTTGCGGGACCATAGGAGGTTCTAGGGATGGAATCCAGGTCAGCCATGAGCAAGGGAAGTGCCCTACCCACTGTGCCATTTGCTCCAGCCCCGAGTGTTAAATGTTCTCGTTGAAGTATATGGTAGGTTGGTTGGTTCTGGAGTTTTCTTTTTCTTTTTTCGGTTTTTTGGGCCACACCTCGCAGTGCTCAGGGCTTATTCCTGGCTTTGTGCTCAGGGATCATTTCTGGCAGTGTTCAGGGGACCAGATGAAGTGCCAGAAATCAAACCAGGTCAGCTGCATCTAAGGCACATACCTTACTACCTATACTTTCTGTCCATCCAAGGCAAGTACCTTACTACCTAAACTATCTCTCCACACAAGGCAAGTACCTTACTCTGTACTATCGCTCCAACCCTGATTAAGTCTTTTTTTTTTTTGGTAAATCTATTATTAATAATTTGAGAAACTCCATTGTTTCAATAGCTATTCAAAACAAAACTAAGAAATAGAGTGTTTACTCAATCTAATAAAAAACATCTATACAACCTAGAACAGAAGACTACGAAACAAAGAAAAGACACACAGATTGGAAAAGAAATAAAACTGTCCTTATTTGCATATATACATGCAATTCAAAAATAGTAAGCATATCCAAATATAATAATTAATAAGTACGTTATATTATTTATTAATATATTAGCAAATATATATTAATACATTAGTTTAGCAAAATCACAGAAATTTAGGGAAATATATAAAAATGTATACTAACAAAGAACTAAATGTTGAAATGAGAAAAAAACATTTACAACAATATCAAAAACTTGGAGAACTTGACTTTTTGACTTGGAGACAATCTTTAAATATGTTTAACATTACATGTTAAAACTGAAAAACACAAGGGTGAATGAAGATATCCAAAAATAGAGAAAAAGCAATGTCATAGGTCAGAAAATTCACTATCTTAAAAATGCCAATTTTTAGAAATTGAGCTCCCATTTGATCCAGCAATACCACTCCTGGGAATATATCCCAGAGAGGCAAAAAAAAGTATAGTCGAAGTGACATCTGCAATTGTCTGTTTATTGCAGCACTCTTTACAATAGCCAGAATCTGGAAAAAACCTGAGTGCCCGAGAACAGATGACTGGTTAAAGAAACTTTGGTACATTTACACAATGGAGTACTATGTAGCTGTTAGAAAAGACGAAGTCACAAAATTTACATACAAGTGGTACTACATGGAAAGTATCATGTTAAGCGAAATGACTCAGAAAGAAAGGGATAGACATAGAAAGATTGCATTCATCTGGGGAACATAAAGTAACAAAATAGGAGACTAACACCCAAGAATGGCCAAGATTAGTACCAGGAATTTTACTCCATGGCTTGGAGGCCACCCACTCATGCTAGGGGAAAAGGGAGCTCAGATAGGGAAGGGAGCACCAAATAAAGGGTGTTGGGAGGATCCTCCCAGGATGGGAGAAGCATGCTGAAAGCAGACTGTAAACCAAACATGATTGTCACCCATTGCCTTTTTTGCAAACCACAACACCCAATAAGAGAGAGAGAACAAAAGGGAATGCCCTGCCACAGAGGCAGGGTGGGATGGGGGAGATGGGGGTGGGAGGGATACTGGGATCTGTGGTGGTGGGAAATGGGCACCGGTGAAGGGATGGGTATTTGATCATTGTATAATTGAAACTCAAGCACAAAAATGTGTAAGTCTGCAACTGTACCTCATGATGTCTCACTATTAAAACACTTTTTAATAAAATAAATATATATATAATTAAAAGAAAAAATGCCAATTTTCCCCTAAATTGGTCTATAGATTAAATATAGTCCCAACCTAATCCCAGCAAACTATTTTTTGGTAGTACTTAACAAGATAACGCTAAGATTTATTTCATTTTATTTTTGCTTTGGGGTCCACACCCAGCAACGCTCAGAGGTTACTCCTGGCTCTGCACTCAGTAGTTATTCCTGGTAGAGCTTGGGGTACCATATGGATGCTGGGAGGGAACTTGGATAGGTCACATGCAAAAGCAAATGCCCTACCTGCTATGCTGTCGCTCCCTGATAATGCTAAGATTTATATGGCAAAACAAAGGATCCAGAATAGCCAAAAGAATTGGGGGGAAAATGGACTAGAGGCTGTTCAATGGGCTGAGTGCATGCTTAGTCTGTGAGAGGGCGGCATTCCCATCCTGAGCACTGCCAGCAGTGACCAAAGTACAGACCCAGGAGAAGCCCCCAAGTACCACTGGTATGCTCCCTCACACACACTGTAGCACTGTAGCACTATCCTTCATTGTTCATCGATTTGCTTGAGCAGTTATTTGCTAGTAACGTCTCCATTGTGAGACTCGTTGTTACTGTTTTTGGCATATAGAATATGCCATGGGGACCTTGCCAGGCAAGGATCCTTCGGGCAGGATACTCCTGGTAGCTTGCCAGGCTCTCCTAGATGGGCGGAGGAATCAAACCTGGGTCGACAAGGCAAGGCAAACGCCCTGCCCGTTGTGCTTTCACTCCAGCCCACACACACACACACACACACACACACACACACACACACAAAATTTGGAATAAAGGAGTTTTAGACTGTCACCTAATTTTACGATTTATTATCACTGTCACTTTTTTAAAAATCAAAATAAGCATAACATTATTGACAGTGATAGATTTAAAGACGACCGCTGGACTAGAGCTGTTACCGACTGGATTCCATGGGATGTCAAAAGACCACGTGGCCGCCCACCTACCAGATGGTCAGACTTCTTCATCAAGATCATGAACGATCGGTTTGAGGCTCTTCATGTTCCCAGAGCGAACAGATGCCATTGGGCTACACTAGCACGCGACAGGGACAAATGGAGACGTTACTGGCACCCACTCGAGCAAATCGACAACTAACGGGAAGTGATTAAGTGATTAAGTGATAGACATAAGTCAGTGGAATAGAATACAGAGCCAGGAATTGAAAACTGTGTGCTAAACCAATTTTCAATAAAAGTGCTATGAAAATTAGTGGAAGATGGATAGGTTGATCAGTAATATGTATATGTAAAAGCTCTGGAAATCAACATTAGGATGGAAAAAAGGAAAAAGTCTTATGGTAGGCTTTTTTGGGTACATAAATTACCCAGGAGCAAAGATACAAAACAACTAGGGTTCTCATCTTCCCTGACAGAGACAAAAAATGTTACAAACTCCTCTGGAAAAGTTTGACAGTTTCTTACAGAATTAAATCAACTAGGGTTCTCATCATCCCTGACAGAGACAAAAAATGTTACAAACACCTTTGGAAAAGTGTGACAGTTTCTTACAGAATTAAATCACATACAAAAAGTAACTTAAAAAGGACTAATGGCCTAAATGTAAAAAAATATAAAACTGCTAAAACAAAACATGAAACTTTTCTGAGAACTTGAAACAGGTAAAGGTTCTTAGTAGGACACCAAAAGAATGAAACACACAAAAATAAATCAATTTAAATGTATATCATCAGATAATTTTTAATTGACTCTTGAAAGGTCCAGTTAAGAAAATAAAAAAGTAAGCTCTGGGAAGGTGAAAAAAAGGTCATAATTCGTTGCAAGATTCATATCTAATAAATGTATCATATTGCATCTTATATAGCGTCTATACAGGTCAATACAATTTTTGTTCATAGCCAAAAAACACTGAACAGTTAGTTTACTTCATCACAGAAGACATTAACTCAGGACAAGGTGCTCAAAAGCATTAATAGAGAAATGCGATCAAAGTCACAATGGGATATTAGTACACTCCTATCAGAGGAACATAATTAATAAATAAAGCTTAAAAAACAAAAAACCGGGGGCTGGAGCGATAGTACAGCGGGTAGGGCGTTTGCCTTGAACTAGGCTGATATGGGTTTGATTCTTAGCATCCCATGTGGTCCTCCGAGCACCGCCAGGAGTAATTCCTGAGTGCAGAGCCAGGAGTAACCCCTGTGCATCGCCGGGTGTGACCCAAACAAGCCAAAACAAAACAAAACAAAAACTTTGAAATTACCCATGAGCAAAGATGCAAAACAACTGGGGTTCTCATCATCCCTGACAGAGACAGAAAATGGTACAAACACCTTTGGAAAAGTTGGACAGTTACTTACAGAATTAAAAATATGCTTAGCCTACAATTCAGCAGTTCTCTCCAAAGTTTCCATACAAGAGAAAACAAATATTCAAACAAACAAAACCAGAATATACATATCATATTCCTCTAGCCACAAGCCACCCAAATGCCCAGCAACCAATGAGTGACCATACAACTCACAAAACATCTAAGCAAGGAAATATCACTGTCACACAAAGGAACAGAACTGCCGAAATACCAACAAACATTATCAAAAGTAGAGAACGGAAGGCCAGAAACCAGGAGCAAAGGATTATACGCTGTCATAAATAAAAGATTCCATTGATATACGTGTATATATACATAAATATGCATATATGTATGTGTATATAGGCATATATATACATATAATTTTTTTAAGGCCGGGAAGGAATGATCTCCAATCAGCATCCAAAGGGAGAAAACAAAAAATAATAAAAGCTGCGTGGAGGAATAGGAGGGGAATCATTACAAGCAGGACAGAGTGAAAAAGAAAAAATGTGGTCCACTGGGGGCTGGGGAGTGGAGGGGTTGCGGAAAGCACTGCTACGAGATTGGGCGACACACCCACAGGATGGAAGACGTGACAGCGGACTTGGTCCTAGTAGCGGGCGGCCGCGAGTCCCGCCGCGGACCCGCACATGACAATAGCCAATCAATGAGCAGCCGCAGGCTTCCTCCGGCCCGGGAGAGAGGCGGGATGCGCCGCGCCCTGGACCAGTCTCTCCCCGGCCGCACTGGGCGCGGGGACCGGCGCAGGGGAGCGGGCGCAGGCGGGATGCCCGGCCCCCGGCCCCATCCCTTCCCACCGCCTCGCTTACCCAGGCCTGCCGCTCCAGCTGGGCGTACAGGTTGGAGCCCTTGAGCTTTTGCACTATCTGGGCAATGATGAGAGACAGATCCGACTCCTCCTGCAACATTTCCCCTGCCCTGGCCCGCTCAACCGCGGGCGCTGACCGCTGGCGCGGGAAGAACGGGCTGCGGGGTCCCACTTTAAGGGCCAGTGACACTTCTCCGGGACCTTCTTCTGCAGGGACCGCTCCTGCGGGCGTTACCAGGCAACTGCAGGGCTGTGTGTCCGTCCTTCTCTCTGGTCCCCCCTGCGCCGAAAGGTCCTAGCACCTGAGTTCCGCAGACAGAAAATGACCTACTGGCGGGGAAGAGCATTAATTATTTATTTTTATTATTATCATCATCAGCATCATCATCATTATTATTATATTTCTTTATACACCTGCTGGCAGGCTTCAAAGGCTATTCTCTCCTCCACGTCGAGGCCACAGAGACTCCTATGTATACCAAGGGGACGAAGCGTTGTCTTTTATTATAAAAGGTTAGCCCTCTTTCTGCAAAAGGACGGTGCACACAATGACCCGGCAATTTTTCACTGAATAATCGGCAGGCACTGGCACTGTGCGAACTTGGGAGAGGAATTTCAGAACTCAGTCTCCACTTTTCTAATAGACTGCCCGCTTCACTAGGGACGGTGGTGACTGGTAGAAGTAACCGTGGAGAAGTTGCACTTAGCACTCCACATTATTTCCATTTCTTTATCTCTGGGGTCTTGTGTAAGAAACAGACAAGGTCTTCCCATTAAACAGCCACAACTTAACCAAGAAGTATTTATTGAGAGGTTCTCTACAAAACATTCAAACGTCAAGAGTTACCGAGGTACTATCCCTGTTTTCAAGGGAAGAATCCTCTGGATTCCTCCCCTTCCACGTGTTTTTTCATGCAATCATTTGTTTATAATTCATTCCATTTCCAGTCATTTCAAACCTTATACACAAGGAATTGTGTGGACACAAAGGAAAGAAGAACATATTCTTGTCTTGGGAAAATATATGAAGGTATTTGTAAGTAACTTACTTAACTAATTGAAATTCTAAAAAAAAAAAAAAAGCTAGAATAAAAGGCCTAGGAAATAATTCACCTCTTAGAGTACTCTTACCAAAATAATCAAGAACTCAAATATACATATGTACGTAATTTAAGCAAAGCTGAAGTAGGATTCAAAAGAAAAAAGGTTTCAAGACCAAAATTTCTGCAAAAATTACTCCAACATAATGCCGTGAAATTTCAGTGTACCGAAGAATCACACAAACTCTTATTACATCAAATGCAGCTTCTGACTCACTAGGACTTCTGACTCATCTCAGCAGGAACTCCATGTCTGACCACCTCCCAGGAGATTATGACACTAGTAAAGAACTACATTCTGAAAAACTCTGAACTAGAGCAAATAGACCATAGAAAAGTAAAAGGACCATCTTTGAACAATGCCCTGACATTTACAACACTTCAGAATATTATGATGATAAATAGTTTCCTAATAGCCATTTCGTCAGGTTTGTTTATAAAATCATGTTTGGAAAGAGGTGGGGTACAGAACAAAACACTTAAAGGCAATGTAAACTCCATAAAACATAGTTTCTCTACAAAAACGTTCTCCTGAATTTCAGAATTTCTCTGACAGTAGATCTTAAGTCTACAACATTTCCATCCTGACACCACACCCATCTATGAACCTCTAGCACCATCACCCCCCTCCCAAAAGTGTAAACTCTGTGGAGGCCTTTTTGTTTGATATCTAAATAGAAGAAGTGAGCAATAATTAAGGAGGTGCTTGGGTTGAGGAAGATTACAAGACATACAGGGAAAAGAAGATGCAACTGGAGTAAGATAAAAGGTGCCTCAAAATATAAATGAATTTTTCTTCCCACCTGCCTGTACAGTGGTATTTCCAGAGTCTCTCCCTGTGGATACAAATTTCCTCATCTATAGCAACAGGGAAAAAAAGTCATTTGAGAGTAGATGGCAAGAAACAAATGCTTCCAGAACTTAAATATTAGTAAATATTAATGAAGTGTCAAAATTGAGTTAGGCAACTAAGAATAATGCCTACTTTTGACAATTCAATGTCATTGATTAAGAAAATAAAGAAATACATCAAAATGTTTGTGGCCTAGGAAAGACAATGACTGAAATAAAAGATGCCCAACTAAAAAGACTGCCCAGTGGAATGGGAAAACATAGTCACACCACACATCTAACAAAGGACTAATATACACAATTTATAAAGCACTTACAAAAATGAACAACAACATGATAAAAGAGTGCAAATAATCCCATCCAAAAATGGGAAGAGGAGCTGAACAGACACTTCCTCAAAAGGGTCCCAGAGATGGCTAACAGATATATGAAAACATGTTCATCATCAAGAGTTATCAGGAAAATGGAAAAACAAAACAATAATATACAGTTCCCATCAGTGACTGGATGATGTCAAAAAGACTAGAAACAATTGGTGTTGGTGGGATATGGTGAAAGAGGAACCCTCATCTTTTTTCTGTTGGTGGGATATTCATCTGGTTCAGCCTTAAAAACTTAGACCAGACTTCTGAATAACCCAGGGATTTTATTTCTGGACATCTACCCCAAGAGCACAAAAGACATTCATTCGAAAAGGTGTTTGCATGCCTGAGTTATTTACAATAGCTGAGATCTGGAAATAATTCAAGTACCCAGCAGTAGATAAGTAAACAAAGAAAATGTGGTAGATAAACACAATGGAATACTACACAGCCCTAAAAATGAAATCTTGTGGTTTGTTGCAACTTGGATGGAACTGGAGGGTCTACCATGTTTAGGGAAGTGAATCAAAGGGAGAAGTACAAAAACTAAATCTCATTCATATGTGACATATCCAAAAACCTAGAAAGGAAATAAATAATAATTAACCATAACAGACCCTGAAAGTCTGCCTATACAATTTAGTTTGCAAAGGGGTGGGTCAGAGGGGAAATGAGATGAGAGGGACCTAGAGACAGTGCTGAAGGGATGCTGGGAATCTAGTGGTAGGTTAATTTACAATAATAATACTGTGTTCTAGAAGTATTAATAATATATAATTATAGACCATCATACCTGGAATTTTTTTTAATCACTGTAAGATACAGTTACAAAACTTTCATGTTTGAGTTTTGGTCATACAATGATCAAACACCCGTCCTTCCACCAGTGTACATTCTCCACTACCAATGTCCCCATCCCAACCCTCCCCCTGCCTCTATGGCAGACATTTCCCCCATCTACTTTGGGGTATTATGGTTTGAAATACAGATACTGAGAGGTTATCACGTTTAGTCCTTTGTCTACTTTCAGCACACATCTCCCATCCTGAACTCTACCTCCAACCATCATTGATTCCTTGTGATCCCTTCTCTATTCCAGCTGCTTTCTCCCCCAGCTCATGACAGGCTTCCAACCATGTAGCAATCTTCCTGGCCCTTGTCTCTATTGTCTTCAGGTGTCAGTCTCATATCATGTTATTTTATATTCCACAAATGACTGAAGTCATTCTATTTCTGTCCCTCTCTTTATAACTCATTTCACTTAGCATGGTACTCTTCATGACCATCCACTTATAAGAAAATTTCATGAATTCATCTTTCCTAACACCTACATAGAAATTCCACTGTGTATATGTACCAAAGTTTCTTTACTGTGTCATCTGTTCTTGGGCACTGGGGTTGTTTCTGACTATTGTGAACAGTGATGCAATGAACATAGGAGTGTAGATGTCATTTCTACTGTGCTCCTTTGCACCCTCTGGGTATATTGCCAGAAGTGGTACTTGGGTTTTTAAAGCAAAAGCAAATACAAACATAAAAATTAAAGTATTAAAAAATGATTCAAAAATACTAAAGAACATGTTCAACAAACTTCTTTCAAAAATAATCCTATTTCACTCTTTTACATATATATTTCCAATTTTCTCAGTTTCGTTTGATTAAAATATTTTTCTTTCTCAAAACCAAACCTAAAAGAGGAGATAACGGGGATACTATAAGACAAGACAAACCCTACAAGCACAACAAACCCTTAGAGAAATATGATACAAAACTCCATAACAATAATCTCTCTCAACATTAATGGTCTAAATTCACCAATTAAGAAACACAGAGTGGCAAAATGGATTCAGAGACAGAAACCAACATTCTGCTGCCTACAAGAAACTCATCTGATCAGTCAGAGCAAATACAGACTCAAAGTTAAAGGATGGAAAACAATCCTGCAAGAAAACAGTTCCCTCAAAAAAGCTGGGGTTGCTGTAGTAGTATCCAACAACATAAATTTCAGGTTGAAAAAGATTAGAAGTGACAGCGAAGGCCATTTTCTATTTATCAAGGGATACATACAATAGGAAGAAATCAACTCTCAAATGTATACACAATGAATGAGGGAACAGCAAAATACTTAAAGCAACTGCTAACAGATTTTAAGGAGGACATTGCTAGCAACACAATAATAGCCAGAGATTTCTACATCACCTTATCACCTCTGAATAGATCAACAAGAACAAAACTCAGCAAGAAACATTGGCTTTGAAGGATGAAATAGAAGAGAGAGGGCTTAGAGACCTGTGCAGGGCTTTAAGCTTCAAAAAGAAAGAAGACACATTCTTCTCCAGTGCACATGGAACATTTTCCAAAATAGACCCGTGCTAAGTCACAAAACATACCTCAATAGAAACAGGAAGATAGAATAGTATCAACAATAGTTTCAGACCACGATGCACTGAAGATAGAAGTGAATCACACACAGACATGGAGAACCAAATCAAACACCTAAAAATTAAACAACTCAATGTTGAACAACAAGTGGGTCAGGAAGGAAGTCAAGGACGAAATCAAAAGATACCTGGAAACAAATGAGAATGAAGATGTGAGCTACCAGAACCTATGAGATGCAGCTAAAGCCATGTTAAGGGGAAAATTTATAGCTCTGCAAGCATTTCTCAGGAAGGAAGAAAGGGTCCACATAAACAACATGACTTCACAGCTCAAGAGTTTAGAAAAGGACCAACAAAAGGAGCCCAAACCAAGCAGAAGGAAAGAGATCATAAAACTTAAAGCAGAAATCAATGACATAGAAACCCAAAAAACAATCTGAAAGATCAATGAAACCAAGAGCTGTTTCTTCAAGAAAACAAAGAAGATAGATAAACCACTAACAAAACTCACAAAGAAAGTGAGAGAGAGAGAACCCTAATAAA